CCTGCTTTCTCCTACAAGTCCTTCTCAATGGAACGCTCTACTCCTAAATTGCCTCCAAATAGGAAAAAATTGAAAAACCCAAGGACATCCTTGACATAATGACTCCCATACTCAGCCCTTTTAGACACACAGAATGACTCCAGAGTACATGAACATCATGGACATCTGCTCTATTGCTACCACATGTCCAGACTGTGAGAGAGAGCCCAGTACTTTGTTTTTCCCACTTCAAACAAGGCATAATGAATAGCAGCAACACATAATGCACATCCAACTCCTGCTCCACTTAATGCTTCTGAACCTTCCTGCCCTGGTGCTCTGGATATTCAGCCTCTAATTAAAGAGCCCTCTTAGCATGACATTCTTTACCCTTGGTTGCCTGAGTGGGTTCCTGGGTCTTCTCTTCAGGATTTGACCACCACCAGTGGTTTGAGAACGGATTCCACCACGCTGGGGTAGTGGTTTTCTCTAGGTTGTCATGATGAGGCCCTGGAGCTGTTAGGACATGGCTCATTTAATCAAGATCTTGTTATTATTTCTCAAGAAGCACTTTTCCTCCTGCAAAGTCAAGTCCAACAGCACCAGCACCCTGAGCAGGCTCATGCCACTGAGATGGATGTGAGTGCAGGATGAATGTATGAACCCACAGTATCATGACATTCCTCAAACACTTAGCCAGGAGCAAGCACTTTTGGCAGTCCAGGAAAAGAACATGGTCCCTTGAGAGGAGCCATCAAAAAGCCCTGTGAGTCTTTTCTAACCCTTCACACTCTAGAAGGTCAATGAATTCCTCACAGTCTTTGACAGCAGGAGAGAGTAGATAGCTTTAGACTCCAGAATGAGGAACATCCACCAAGATGACAAAGTTATGTACCAAAGGTAAAAGAAGTATCCATGACAGGCAAGAAAAGGTCACCCAGAGATAAGCACATACAGAAGCAAACTGCCCTTCTAGTGACAACCTCATGAAGCCAATGCCACCAAGAACCTGGGCTCAGAACTAGAGCCATTCTATGGAAAAGACACATGCACTCCCCTTGGCCAGACGCTGCAGCAAAATCCACACCAGAAACATTTTCCAGAGTAGGCATTAGCACAGCATTGAGAGAAATATGCAGTTTTACTCCATCACATTACCAATACACAATATTTTCTCAGAACACAGCATCTGAACATGAATCTGGCGCTGAGTGATATGGTTTAGTGGTTTAGATCTTACAGTGGTAGTGCTAGATTGATGGTTAGACTTGATTATCTTAAAGGTCTCTTCCAACCTTGATGATTCTATGACCATGAAGTTGATGGAGAACATCACCAACAATGCCCAAATGCAGAGAAATAATGAAAGGGTATTATCTGAAGAACAAAGAGCTGTGGCAATTGCACATTTCAAACCCATAGCAAAGAAGTATTTTGATTAAGCTCAATACCCTTTCACCAAACTTTAAGTTTACAAATGATGTAAATGTACACATTTGGATGGAGAGCCATCAGTTTTGTTTCTCACTTTAACATGCTATAGAATTAGATAGACATATCTATCTGAAGATACATGACAAATAGTTTTCTTTACTTCTTTCTTAATTTTCTACTTTCCTGTCTGTGGGACTTTTCTCTGGGAAATTTATTCGTGGCCAGGACATCCCAATGACCCTGCACTGTTACACAGTCTAAATAGCAGATACTGAGTCATGGCTTTACCTTCTTTTTTTTTTGATTTTTTTCCATGTAAGTTTCTCCTATGCTACTGAATATTTGATAGCTTCTCATGGTGATGTATAGTTTACACATAACTTGTTTCTGAATGGAGTGCAGTAAAATTAAACTAAATGGGTCTCTGGCTTCAAAGTGATATTGCCAAGTAGTAGCTAAAGCTATCAGAAAGGTCCAGGTGATTTACGTTCATAATCTTTTTTTCCTCCAGAGACTCAATCTATCAATCCTAAACCAGTAAACAATCATGTCAGTGCTATCGCTTCTGTGAGACACATTTATCAGTACTGATGTATTTTAGTATATCACTCTACAGTTATTTTCATCTCTTAAATACATCTAGTTTTCCCCCTGTAAAATAGTCATGCCCATGAGAGAGAACTGTTAGCAACAGGAAGGGACATACATATTTAGGGTCAATACATTTGATAATTGGGCAGTAAAACAAAATTAGAAATCTTTCCTGCCTAGAAACGATGCACAGGTTTTTGCAATGGGTACAGAAACACCTGTACAAGGCAACACTAAGTCACACACACATACAAAGCAAATATATATGAAGGGAAAATCACCACCAGAGTCAACCAGATGAACTTCCCACTACCACCAGGTGGGATTTCCCCCAGCCTCTTGCAGATAATACTTTATAGCAAAATATTTCACTTGAAACAAGAGTTCTTGCAGATAATACTTTATAGCAAAATGTTTCACTTGAAACAAGCACCAGATAATTCTCTACTTTCTTTCAAGGTCTGGAGTAAGATCAGCCTAATACTTCTTCTTCCATCTACATATACATAAGGTGTTACTAATCTTCACACCCTCTGAGACAAGATGTTTGGGTTTAGTGACATGTCTTTTAGCAAAGCTTTTGCTAACTATGTAATCCATACAATCGTTCTTCCTCTCTCCTGTGGTTTCTAAATACAGAGAAGAGGGCACCATCCCTCCAAGTCACATAGAGCATTTGACCATCTATCAGCAATCAACAAGCAATCAAGCAGTTCCTCACTCTCATAGGTTTCCCTGGTGGGGAAGAAACTTTCATTTCTATCAGTTCAATCTTTACTACAACATGTCTCTTTAGATCTCCTCTGTATAATTAAAATGTTCTCCCTTTAGGTTCACTTCATTTTCTGGGGCAAAGATCTTTATCACTCCAAACATGAGAAGTAGTGTGAACATATGTACATTAATTCCACTTTAAAATGTGAATAAGATGACTTCAAAAGCTTTTTATTTGTTGTAGCTCCTGTGCACTACATATTTGATAAAAACATCACAAGCAGATTTTTTTTACCTTAGTAAAGGTATTAAGCAGTGAAAATGGCAATTCTTCTTTTGAGCCCTCAAATCCTGTGGAGCCACCGTGGGCGTCAATTTTTTCTCATGTATATTGCCAACAACGAGGACAAAATTAGTCTTGGCAGTGCACAAGTGGCTTGGCAATTGGAAGTGCCACATAAAGGACTGTTTTGGTTAGTGAGACCATGGTTTTGACGTGGATTGCCCACATTCACAACCACAAATGTATTAGAAAAACAGACACTTTCATCACAAACTGACAAAAATGCCCTTTTTTACGTCAGAAATAAATTGACTCCAAGAGATAATTGGTTGCACTAATTTGTGGTGTCTCACAGTGAAAATAGGTGTGATAAAACTGTAGTGGGAAACAGAAAAGAATCTTTCTAAGTTCATGGATCAGCATTTAAGTAAACATCCTGTAAATGATTTTATTTCCCTTGTCCCAGAGAGTGAAGCTCATTTCTGACTTAACCAGACTGGAAAGTACTGTCTTTCAGTGTCTTTCCAATACTGGACATGATGTACATTATTTCACTACTTACCAGAATGCCCTTCTGGAAGAAGAAAACAGTTTTAATGCAATCTGTATTTAATGTAATTAAATGAACAAAAAAATCTTACTAGTACTCGCAGCATACTGGTCACCATCTCCTTCATGGAACTCATCCGTTGCTGTCCCCAAAAAGGTGTCAGGTGATACAGATGAAACTTCATGATCTGTATGGTGATAGATAATGATTACTATTTAATTAGCTGAGTTGCAAGACAGTACTCACAACTACTTCAATTATTCTATACTGTAAGCTTCACTGCTTCATATATTGGTCCAAGAGAGAAGAAAGATATAGGTTAGGTTCGTCACATAATTCAACCCCACATAACCTTACTTTACTAACATATTAAGGAAATCAAAACAGATTATTTCAAGAGGAGAATGTGATAATGAACATTCTGGCAATACCTGTTCATGTGATGCAAGATCTAATTGTACCTGTATACAATGTGCACAGGCATTCTAGAGCAATGAGTGAAGTTATTTGTACTCCCCTCTACTGAAATATGTTCTGAGATTTAGTCAAAATACCTCTGCATGCAAGCAGAGCTGATTGCAGTTGTGATGGCAATCAATTGGAATACACAGCAGACACTTTGGGAAATAGTTCTGATCCTAATTCCTTAGGGGGAGAATGTTAGGATCTACATAACATGTCATGAGTATACCACCAGTGAGAATTTTATAATCCTAATGCTTTGCTCTTTTTTTCTTCTATTTTTTATTTTTTATTTCAGTATATATGTTGAAGATAGTGATGCAAAATACTGGTATCACAGAATCACAGAATCAGTTGGGTTGGAAGGGACCACAATGGGTCATCTGGTCCAACCTTCCTACTCAAGCTGGGCCATCCTAGAGCACATGGCACAGGATTGAGCATCCTTTACTGGTAAGTTAATGGTTACTTGACAAAAAGCCTAGAGCCACACAGTAAACTTTACTGTACTTAGAGGATGACTTATATTTGTACCCCTTAGGTTCAATGGGCTCTAGTCTTTCAGACCTCTCATCATTTCAGCCACACAAGCAACATAAAAAAATGAAAAAAATACTTAGAAAAGAATACAGCATTTGTATTTGGCAAAGCTCTATGAAGTTGGTTTTACCAACTGAGTGAAGAAGTTATTAATAACATTTTAATTTGACATTTTTATATCTCTGTGCATTCTGTAATATGCTCTAGTAAGAAGAAGATGTCCTAAAAAAACTCATGTACTGATACAAAGAGAAATCACTTGTAAACTCCTCCTTGTTCTTATTATTTAATGTCAATTCATCCTTTGAGAGAATAGATAAGAATGTTATTCTCTCTACATATCCATACCCTCAGCCTCACTAATCTCTGTGTATTCACTGCTAGGTAACTTCTTGAGCTTTTAACGAAACCAATAATTTAATTAGAATAAGAGCACATTCTTAGAAACATCAATTCTCAACATTCTGGAAAGGTTTATGCAGGAAACTATGCTGATGTGTGGCTGCTTCATACTCATGTGCAATCAAAAAAGTCCTTACCAATTCAGAATGCTTCAGTTTTCTTTCAAAGACACACATTTTCTTTTTTTGTTTTTCCCTTCAAGACACAGGTTAGAGATGATGCTTCTCAACCCTTCATGATATCCTTTAACTACCAACATAATCCTTCACTCAGTTCTATTAAAGAGGGCATAGTGACAACCTACTGTCCTTACCATAATCTCTTCCAGGATTTCCTTTTTCAAACCACCCATAAGTATGATCTGGCAGCTCTGAGGCTGGAGCGGCGGTTCCATAGTACGACGGGCTGGATCTCCTGATGGTGGTATCCATGGGAGTTGTCTCATGAGTTGATCCACTACCTACATTGTCATCATCTGCACCTGAAGTCGAGGACTCTCCACTGTTGTGACGTGTGCCATCTCCGTTATAACGTGAGCCATCTGGGTTGTCAATGACTGTGGAAAGAGGGAATTAAGCAGCTAATATCAAGGAGATACATAGCTATATTTCAGTAATGCTGAATAGTTTTAGTCCTACAACGACAAAAGAGAATGGATTCATATCAGTTCATCATCTGCACCTGAAGTCGAGGACTCTCCACTGTTGTGACGTGTGCCATCTCCGTTATAACGTGAGCCATCTGGGTTGTCAATGACTGTGGAAAGAGGGAATTAAGCAGCTAATATCAAGGAGATACATAGCTATATTTCAGTAATGCTGAATAGTTTTAGTCCTACAACGACAAAAGAGAATGGATTCATATCAGTTCATCTTACCCTACAACGACAAAAGAGAATGGATTCAAACCAGGTCATCCATTTTTACCATCCTATATACCCTGACTAGAAAATACATCACTAAACCATGTCTAGTGTGTATATGCTAATTGATGTATTAGTTGAATATACAGGGCCTACCCTGCACCACATATTTTGATCAAACAGTTTGATTTTAACATAAAATCTTGGCATTTGTAAAGTTTTAGTATTGGAACAAATAACTGATTATGAGCATTTTCTTCCACCTCCAGAAACTTTGCTAACAAACAGCTCCAATGAGATGTAAAAAGGTTGCTGTCTTAAGCAAAGTCCTATATGTCAAAGGGATATTAGCAGCTCTGAGGTGCCAAAAAATGTGAAATACTTATATGAAAAATGCTGGTAGCATCTTGAGACAAACTGAGCTCCACAGGATTTAGGGGAAGACAAGTGACTAATTGCTTTAATTTCTGTTGAACACCTCTTGACTTCTTTTTCTTATGTTCGGCTTTATGTTTTAATATTAGCAAATGTTGATGTTAAAAAAGATAATCACATACTAAAAGTCATGCAAGTGCAAGTCTTTCTAATTGGTACAGTACCTATATCATCCTGACTACTGAGCAAAGAAGTATCCAGTTTTTCAATTGCCTCACACGCTGTGCCCCTTGTTTCTGTCAAAGAAGGAAAATAGGAACTATTAATTGGAGAAAATGGATAAATAACCATATGTATACCCACAAACCATCAGCTTCAGATGAGGATAAATTTCCAAACAAAAATTTCCAAATCAAACATTATTCACTGATGTACCTATGTCCCCTTTTTGCTCCTTCCCAGGAGGGGCACTTCAAGATTGTTCTATCAGTTACCAGTAAGATTCTCCATTTCCATAACCACCCCAGAAAATGGTTGCAATCATTATCAATTAAACAGCCTTATGACCCAGTTTCTATGCAGACAAGCCCCACTGTCAGGGTAGCAGGGGCAACTCTAGTCTTTTCTAACTAGACAGACTCTGCCCTCTCCATGAGGGTTCTGCACAAGGTAGAGTGTGCCCTGGTCCGGTGAGCACTGCTTGTTCCAGTGGGTTGAAGTGTCATGGTTGTGTGTGAGTCACCTGCTCATGCTGTTGGAAGAGAAAAAGCCTTGGGAGGAGTTATAAAGCTCTGTTGGGGATGGCCATCACTGTAGCAGCAGAATAGCCATCCGTGAGTGAAAGAGAATGGCAGCTCACATGATACTACGCCAATGAATGTCACTGCCAGTCAAATCATCAATTAATTTTCCCCACAGCTTTCTGTAAGAACTGCTTTCAGACACTTGAAGTCAATTCAGATTTTATCTTCAAATAGTGTCCTACATCTGTCACAGATTATCTGCATTTTCCTACATATTTACTAAAATATTTCCAACCATTAAAAAGTTCGAAGCCTTAGAAAAAAGCAGGCTGCTTCTGACCCACACTGCTATCTAACTGCCTAATATCTGAATGGAGAATTTCCTGAGAGCAAATAATGAATGAACCTACTAAAAGGAGAGCAGCAGCCATGTCCATGGGCTTGGGATGGCCATCACATGTCTTGGAGCTGCTGCAGGTGGCAGCCACTCCGAGTATTCCTGAACACAAATAACTGCTGTTGGCTATAGAAACTCATGTGTGCATGAACAGAAGAGCTGAGTGCCATTGCTGACAACAGTTATGTCTTTCTGATTCACTGCAGCAGCAGCTCACTTCTCTAACCCATGATAATGAACTGTTCTGAAGCTACTAAGTTAGTCCCAAGGGCAGAAAATTGGTTTAGTTCAAAACACACTAATAAAGAAATAGGTCAAATTCATTGCTGGCATTATAGATACACTTGTAGAGGATGACAAAATGTATTTCTTCTCAGCTGAAAAGCAGATGATGTTTATTATAGAAGCCCACATTCAAGTACCTATTACATGTTCTTTTTAGCTAATCTGTATCTAAAATATATCATAAAATCATCCACATACCTGTGGCATTGTAACAGTATGCATCGTACCGAGCACTTGTATTGGCTGAAAGCTTGGAAATGCCTGTATTATTTCCTGCACAAAGATGATAGGGCTTGATTCGTGGGATAACAACATGCCCCACTACAAAACCATACCTGTGAAGAACAGAGGCAAATAAATCATGTTATTTACTAGAGCAGATGGCACCTCAAACATGAAGAAGCTACAAAGAAGTCATTATTTTCTAAAAGTCTAGATATTATCATAGAATCCATCGGGTTGGAAAAGACCTCCAAGATCAAGTCCAAACCTGCTGTTGTTACTAGACCATGGCACTAAGTGCCACATCCAGTCTCAGCTTAAAAGCCTCCAGGGACAGTGAATTCACCACCTCCCTGGGCAGCACATTCCAATGCATGATTTTTTTGTTTCTTTTTCATTCCCTTTTTGTTTGAGGGTTCCTTTCTCACACGTAGCTTTATCAGTCTCCAGCCACTCAACAGTGTTTTGCACAGAATTTCTAGAGCTAAACCCATTAAACTAAATGAGCACCTTATTAGCTAGAGCTCTAGGTTCCAGAGCAAGGCAGTGAAAGTGAGGGAGGCAAGTGCACTTGTTGTTTAGTGGGAGGTTGTATTACCTGACACTAAAGAGTAGATTATTTCTTCTTCAGGGTTTCACACTTACACTGCTTTAACATAACATACTGCTCAGTGATATTTCACAGTGTTGTGGGCTCAATTTATGGTACCTGAGCAAATTTTTACAGTGATTGTAAGACACATCATATTCTGCAAAAACTGTCAGCTTAGTAAAATAGTCAAATACAACACTCATTCATCCACAAATTTTAACTGTATCTTTCAGTTGAACAATGTGGTTATTATGTACAGAACTCATATATTTCAGTGAGCAAAGCTATATAATGCACAATGCATCGTTACTGTTTCGCAATCCTGTAATATCTGACTGATCCCAATGTATTTAACTGGGAGATGTGACCGCAATCCTGTAATATCTGACTGATCCCCATGTATTTAACTGGGAGACGTGATAGAATGGTAACAAGAACTGGGGTTTGGTTCAGGTTTCATTTCTTGAGAGGTATGATTTATCAGGGAGAAGTAAATGTCACAGCTTTGCAGTTTTTTATCTATGAACATCATTCCACTTACATGTCTAATGTGCAGATACTTGCAATTCTGAAACTCTCTTGTAGGTGGAATTATAAATTACTTTACTCACACTCCCAACTGAGCCTACAATGATGACACTTATAAACCATTATTGACCTACTTGTGTAATGTTCTGTCGATTCATGTTATTCACTCCCCATTCCACATGTATTCTGGCAATTATATGCTGTATATTTTTCCTTTCCTACTCAAGCTTGATAAGAGCCAAGGCTTATTGACAAGGACATCTAGCACAAGATCAACAAATAAAAGGAAGAGGGTGGGAGGATTGGCCAGAAGGAAGGGAGGAAGGAATCCTATCTACATGCCTCACATGTCCAAATCTGTCCTCTGGCAAACTGTGAATTAGGGAAAACTGTAACACTAATGAAAAACTACAGCTCCTCACTGCAAAAAAAACCCCTCAAAACACCACCATTCCCTCCTCTCCTTCTTTCAATTACCTATATATTTTAACTTCAGAAAATACTTTCCATATTGCAGAATACTCATAATTAGTAGTGCAAGAAATCTCTACCCCCAGGCATTAATTAGGACTTTATCTCTACATACTGTGCAATGCTGAATGCTATGTATGCTCATATGTTAATGCCAGAAAAAAAACATGCCTACTATTTTATGAAGGACTATTTCTTCAGAGTAAAGAACTGCTTCCAGTCTTTATGTGGTACATTTAAATTACATTCCCACTTCTCATGGAAGAATCTTCCAGGAATTCTCTGTCCACTGTTCCCTGACACTATTGTCCACATCTTTCACCACCATAAAACTTGTGGTAATGAACATATGCTGTCACCAAAAGCAGTGCATGCCATTTATATGTGTGAGAATCTTTTCAAGGCATGGCACATGTATCTTTCCATGCTTACAAACTGCCTCATATGGATTTTTAATTTGAAAGGAGCTTTATTCCACTCTCATGGGCTTGTAAGTCAATGGGAAAGAACATTCATGCATTAGGCATTAAAAAAAGTAAAACACCACTGGCTAAACCGAAGTGAAGCAATTCACAGGAAATAGTTGCAAGCAGTACTGATGTCATTAGTATTTCTCATGGTACCACAGTGAAAGTTTTAAACTTTTGGAGAAATGTCCACAGAATTTCACTATTCCAGTCAGTTAGAAGATAAATTCCATTTTTCCCTATTTGCTGTTTAATTTAGACTGCAATAAAGTTGAAAATCTACTGAAGTTTATTTCAATTCCATAATGGTTTACCAACATGAATCTACTGGACTGCAGGGATCATGCACTGGTGAAGTCTGAGATCCTGAGGGAAATGGGTCAGGTGAAGAGTAAAGTCAGGACCCTGAATTTTAGGAAAGTAAACTTTCAGGACTTCAAGGAGTTAGTCAATAGAAGTCCCTGGGACACTGCCCTCAGGGTCAAGAGTGCAGAACAGAGCTGGTGGGTCTTCAAGGATGCTTTCCATAGAGTGCAAGAGTTCTTGATCCCCTGTTGTAAGAAATCAGGAAAGCAAACTCAGAGACTAGAGTGCAAGAGTTCTTGATCCCCTGTTTTAAGAAATCAGGAAAGCAAGCTCAGAGACCAGCATGGCTGAGTTGGACCCGCTGTCAGACTAAAGGACAAGAAGGAAATAGGCAGGCAGTGGAAGTGGGAATAGGTATCCTGGGAAGAGAATGGGACACAGTCCAGTTGTGTAAGGATGGGGTGAGTAAGGCCAAGGTACAGCTGGTGCTGAACAGGGCAAGGGATGCAGAGAATAATAAAAGTTTCTACAGTAAATCACCCAGAAAAGGAAGGCCAAAGAAAGCATACCCCCAAGTTGAGGAAGATTGGCAAACTGGTAAAAATAGAGAAGGAGAAGGCTGAGGTACTCAACAACTTCTTTGCCTCAGTGTTCAACAGCAGTCTCTCTTCCCATACCTCTCGAGTGGATGGACCACAAGTGAGGGACTAGGGGAGCAAAGTCTCTCCTACCATAAGACAAGATCAGATTTGTGCATTTGTTGCCCTATGCATCATTAATAACTGAGGGTAATTAAGTCACTTAACAACATGGTTTTGGCTTTTTTAACAATCACTATAACTGCCTTCAGAAAGTTCTGTAACAACATGGTTTTGGCTTTTTTAACAATTACTATGACTGCCTTCAGAAAGTTCTGTGTTCACAGACCATAAGAAAGCACTAACACTGTGGCCATGTTTTCACTGGGATGTCAAGAGTTCATCCCTCAGAGTAACACTTTTTATTGTTCCTTGACAAGATAGAGTTCCATATACTGTATATATCATCTTCAGCCTTTGGCCTTACATCAGGTCCTGACTTTTCACATACTTATCTTACCAATGATTCAGTGACACAGTATGATCTGAACATCTTCCTAATTAGTTTATTAGACTGCCAACTTTTTAACTTTACATTTTATCTGCGAGAGGTTATGATTTTCAAATATAATTGGTAAAGGCTACATGCACCAAGGATTTATTTATTACTGGACCCAGAGCAAACATACACAGCACAAAGATGTTTTGTTCATTACAGAACATAACTTACTTAACTGATCCAGCCATTTTAACAGCTGGGAAGTCAAGTGTAATTATTACAGTGCAGCATGAATGGATGGACTTGTCACAATATATTATTTTTTCATGAATTTCTTTACCTGCACGTTTCAAATCCAAGCTCATGAGCTCTCTTCAACTGCTCTAGTGTTGCCAAGGTACTATTGAGAGCTCTGCAGAGCTCGACTGCTTCCGATCGTGTGAGGCTGTAGCGACCATTTTTCTCAACATGAAAAACTCCTCCATATCTGCAACTTACGTTGAATTCTGTTATCAAAAGAAAAGAGAAAAAAAAAAAGGTTTTACAAATTGCTTCTCTGAAACCAGGAAATGACTTATTTTCAAGCACAAACCACCACCAAGCAGCAGCTACCAATTCATTCAGAAAAAGCACTATGCCTTTCAACCACCATCTTCGTTCTTCCCCCTCTTTGGGCTGAGGCACAAGCTAAGTCTCCAGCCTTTTTTAAAATAACAATACAACATGCCTTTGTGAGGTATCTAGAACTTTTAACATCCTATTAATGATGTGCAGAAAATATAAATACTTGTCTAAGTCTTGGAATCTACATTACTGCAAAACTAACTGAATACTCAAATGTACTTGAAAACAAAATATTCAAACCAGAATTTTTCTAAGATGAAATGGTATATAATAAGAGCTTTTATGATCATAAGTTCCTTAATTATCTTACTGTGATCTCTTCACAGTGTATGAATCTATGTGACAACTCCAAGTTTCAGAACTAGTTCAAGTAACATGTTCCTGTTCCTTGCTAGACAAAGGCAGAAAATGGTTTTATGTTGCATGATCTCCCTGAGACAAAAACTATTTGCATGACCTACATGAAACAAAAACTAAGCTGCACAGATAGTCTGAACTAGAACAACATCATGTTGTTAAACACTCCCTGAAAGATAATCTTTAAACTCTTCTTATTCAGCCAGCTTGGGCAGATAAAGTACCAAATATACATTATATAAGGGTTCACATGAATGGATTTCTTGCCACCTGTTCATTCACCTTCACAGTATTTCTCTCCATTTTGAAAGGTCTCATGCTGAATTCATGCTCATGCACAAACCTCTTACTGCCAACCCACGTCAGCATTTCAATATGTACTGCATCAAGTTTAATGTTAAAGGATGTCCTAGATGGATTTAAACTTAATAATAGTGTAAATGTTTGCAGATGGAACTAACTTTCAATGGCAAACAGTATGAGGATAAAACTTTTGTACAAAGTAAGTTAGGTTATAGAGTTATGTTGTACAATTTGTTTTCCAGTCTTAAGCTTGCCAATCCTGAACAAGCAGTATTTGAAAAGCCTGCATGAGTAGAGCACCTCATACCAATCACTGCAGACACTGAATGAAAGGCATAAAGGCTAGAGACTCTGAGGAGATCATACTCCAACTCATCATTAAGCTGGAAAGATACTGCAACTAGTGGGAAAATGGTATAAGCCAAGGAAAGTCTGTGACTGATAACATGAGAGGAAACACAAACATTCAGTTGTCACCTTTTTAACAGGATCAGCTAAGAAAGAGTTAATGATAATCATATCAATAATAGCAGTAACAATACAAATAAGCATAATGATGTGCGTGGAGAAAATGGGGAAGAAACAGGACACTTCAAAGCAATGTGAATTAACTTTGCTTCTGCCTCACCTTTCCCTCAGGAGAAAAAAAGTGGCTGCAACTCCAAACTAGAATGACAAGTGCAAAGCACACTTAATAGGAGTAGCCTATTATTACCAGTGAAGAGAGGAGCATGACTCTTTTTTATCTCAATTTTAATTGAAGTTCCATGTGCAAGAAAAGAAAAAATAGACTAGTCTTCTCTAAATATTAAAAGAGTGTGTCTGTTACATCTATTTTAAAAAAAAAGTCATAGAATCAACTGGGTTGGAA